AAGCTTGTTAGGAAGCAATTCCAGAGAAATTTGACTAAAAAGTTCAACAAAATGGGGAAGCAGAAGAAACGTGCACAAAAACACAACGTAACGTTACGGCCGGGCAGCCTTTTTCAAACATAAGTGAACTACACAAACGTAACAATGAGGCGTGGGGAGTATGAAGATCTCTCAGGGTTGACGTGAGCATTTTGTTGAGCTTTTTAGTCAAATTTCTCTGGAATTCCTTGTATTAGCTTGACTGCAGTCACCCCCATATTTTCACCATTGTTAGGAAGCAGTATGTCTATAATCTCCCCCAGTTCCAATGGGGCCCAGAACCTGCGCGGAATAAAGAGAACTAACGGATTGCTTACGATATTTTAAAAACTAAAGGTGAAAGAAAACACAGTCTAGCACTGTTCTATTTATACTGTAGTTTTCAAGGACATCCCATAGTAAATCTCTGTTCACTCTGTCAAAAGACTTTTCATTATCTATAAAAGCGATGTTCGTTTGGTGTCTTTTGTCTTTTCGCTAATTTGGCTTAGGGTGAAAACGAAAATAGCGTCAGTACACCATGTGGCTGTTGTTACACCCTCTGCCTTTCCTGAATCCAACATGTGCTGGGCTCAGAATCGGTTCTACAAGAGATCTAATTCGTTGCTCCAGAATCTTGTCCAACATTTTACCTACGTGGCATAAAAGGGAAATGCCTCTACAAGTTACAGTCTTGCTTATTGCCTTTTATTTTCCATATTGGTCCTATAATGGCTCTTTGCCGGTCAATGGCCTGGTTCATTATGTTCTAAATTTTCAACAATTTGGCCTCCGAGTAAAAGTTGATTACACATACACACACACACTCACACAGACACACACAAATTGTGGGATGTTCCCATTTTCAGCTTAACATGTTATGTTCACCTACCACTGAGGCATTCTAAGAAACGACGTGGACGCACTGCTTCTAACATCCTAAAGTTACCCTTTGTCTCGTTAATGTGAAAAAAAAAATAATAATAAAGTTTTCCTCCTGTGGTCCGTATCTACATCTTAGAACATCGGTCCGACCCATTCGTGCATCTTCCTCCAATGCAGCGGTTATCTGGGTGTTTCCGTGCTCAACGTACACAGGAAGACTTGATTGGCGCAACTTTGCCTTTCGCCCCGTAGCCGGTTCCTACATACTTATCCTCATTTAAAAAACCCATTTCCACAAGGCAGCTCATGGTCCCTGACATTTGTCTCAACGTCTCTGGGATTAATTATTTAAAATAATGTCACATTAACAATGTCAGCTCACGGATAATGAATGGATAACACCAGACTCCACACAGGAAGCCTTTATTTGGACACCGAAGGGGACAAGAAAACGGGGAGGATCAGGGCAGATCCTGCGTATAACCACCGCCTTCTCTAGACAAATAGAGAAGGCCGTGCGTATAACCATCATTAGGGAAAGCTCAACCGTGGGTCTAATGAACACCCAAGACCATAACAGGTGGCAAGGAACCGCCAGACACGCAGAGTTATGACCTTTGTCCTATGCGCCGTCCTAGGCTCAAGAGGAAAGACTAATTTAACCCGCGTGAACTTAAAAGTCTTTATTCGTTTATTCATTGTGCATCGTCTGTAAGTTATAGTAGGAGAGGACAATATGGCAGAATGCAAACTTACTCGGTAGATGTAAACTGGAATAGCTGCTGCGTTTGAGGACTAAGCAGGCATACGATTACCCGATGTGCAGAGACGTCGATCTTAACATCGTAAAGATGAATTCTTCTTCTTCTTCTTCCTGTTGTTGTTCTTCAGCATTCCGAGTTCTCAAGGTTCATTGCTGCAGATATCACCCGCTCCAATTCATTTCGCCGATTGGCCTTCTTTTTCTAGTTGGTTACACCATTTGTGTGTATTCTCTTCACGTTCTTCTTGGTCTGTCTCGTGGTCTAATTCTTTTGGATAATTTTAGTGTGTGTGTGTGTGTGTGGGGGGGGGGTGTCTAACTCTGTTGTCTACCATTCTTAATATTTGTTCCGATTATTTCAGCATATTAGCCCCAGTAATTATTAAAGCCAAAATAATATTCTTCTTCTCGTCATCTTCTTCGCGTTCACTGGCTACAAACTCCAGCAGAAAATTCTGCTTGTTTGTCCACCTCTGGACTTTAGTCTTGTTCAGAACTGTAGTATTGCGTGTACATCCGTATAACAGATCTGACTTAATTGTGTGCAGATTGTTGGATTCCTTGCCTCTATTATGACTTCATAGGAAGCCCGAAAGTAGTCGACTCCTACGGCAAGCTTGTTGGGGAAGCAGTGGTCTATTCTTGTCTTCCTCGCAATGGGGCCATGGAACCCACCCGGGGGAAAATAAAATTAATAACATGTTTGATAAATTCAAACGCCATGCATTTACAATCGACTACAAACGGATACAGAATCGCTTTTACGAGTAGTATCGATGTTAGTGGTATTTTTCGATAACCGATTTTGACCTCGGTGGGACACTGACGAAACGAAGATGACTTAAAACTGTAAATATCTTCTTCCCCTCACGCTTGTATTTACATTTAAGTATTTATGAGAGGACAAATGTGGATCACATTTGTAAAAAATAATATGTCATTCTAGTAGTTATTAATACAAGCATGGTAATCGACATTTTGTTAACTCTGTTCTACGTCTCAACTAACAAACATTTCTCGAGTCTTGTTGACACACTGCCAGCAGCAAGTCTGATCTGATTTCAATTCAATTGACAGTCACGCAACGCATTTAATTCATAGAAACAGATATTCGTTTTTATGTGTGTAGTGTGTGTAAAAGAAGAAACTTAAACGGAAATGAAGCTGGCTAAATAGAACACACCTCTAATCACTTGTCAGAAAGGTGAGTGAGTCGTGAGCCAGTTGAGTTGGAGCAACAACACAACAGTCAACACACACACACACACCCAAAAAAAAACCAGAACTTGAGTTCTGCATGCATATCCGTTTTACATTTGGTGCTTTTTTTTGTGTATACAAACTTTTGGTTGCTTGCCTCATAGGGTGATGCACTCTGAAGGTAACCCCTAATTAGTCGACTCTTACAACATGCCTGTTGGAGAGGCAGTGGGTCTGATCTTTTTTTTATTTTTATCCTACGAGGTGGTCTGGAATCTTCACTGGGAATATTCTATAGTAAACAAACAAAGGATGCTGTGGTGAGAAGACTTAATCAGCAAACATAAACAGCAATGAGAATCAGAATTAAAAAAGAAAATGGAGTAATTTAAAAAAGTAAAGTTAAAGTAAGGGACCCCTTTCCACGTCTTTAAGCATATTGGACATATAGGGCTAGAACTATATATTATAGACCAATTGGCACAAGATGGGTGATGTGGTCAGCGTCACGCCTGCCACCTTTACTTTCCAGGACTGCACCTGGTACCCACTCAAGGCTGAGTCGACCTGGCAGCCAAGATAATTTTTGAAAAAAAGTCCGGCTGGAGTAACTTAACTACATTTACAAATTTTGTAACTTCTAAACAAAAGAAACACAATAATAATATATTATAAGATATGTGATACTTACATGGAACGCTCCAAATTTTGTGAAAAAACAGAACAGGTCACGATGGCTGCAGCAAAATGGCAGCAACTGAAGGCACTCCAGGAGCATGTTATGGGTGAAATCCTGCCGTGAGGTGACTTTTTGCTCATGAGAGGTCTAGGGGTAAGAACATGACCAGTAGGAAAGACAGAGGCCTGGAGGAAATGATAAAAGGGGTAGATTTGATCTGTTTGAATGGTGAGGAAACAATAAGAAAACCAGATAAAGGGTGAGATACAGATAGTGCTATAGACCTCTGCCTAGTCATGCCCAGATTAAGCACCTTGTATCAATGGGAGGTAGTAGGACACCATAGCAGTGACCATTTCCTGTGCATAGTGGTTATATAGAAGCATGCAGTTGAGAGGTGATGAAGGCAGGAGAATGCCTTTCATTACAGCCAAGAAAGCCCTGAGGTCATAGGTTACCTGCATCATAAGACTGGCAGGACAGTGACTCAGATGAGGAAGAAGAGGTAGCAGCTACCTTTGTGGTCAGCTGAAGTCAACAAAGTTAAATGTTCGGTCACCAGAGAGTGGCAGAAGAAAAGGAAAACGACATACACACCACAAATCCAGTAGCTTCAGGCTAGGAGAGATGAGCTAACAGAAGTCTTCAAGGAGCATGTCAGAAAAGCCAAGCATCAAACATGGAAAAAATACTGCAAGGAAATTGGGTTTGACATGTCAGATAAAAAGCTCTGGAAAATGGCTGATAGCCTGCTGACTGATAGCTTGTGCTTTTCTGCACAAACTGCTCTATATGGTTGAGGAAAACACTTCTGTATGTTTGTGCTCATCAGCTTTTGTTGAAGAAGGGACCAGTTAATGAATACTAGCATTAGAAAGTTGGAACAACATTATGCCTTAATGACATTGAAAGACAGAAAGAAGTGGTCAAGCCATCTAATAAGAATGCAGCCAGACCAAACTATATGAGACCATTAACAGCAGAAAATCTGGGTGGAAGATGAGAAAAAGATCAAAGAAGCGATAAATAGACAGCAAAGCTGATTCTTGCAAAAAAATATGAACAGACCCATCCCTCAAGCCACCTGAGAAGCACAAAACAAATTTAAAAAAATACAACACTTGGCTGCCACCCAGTAACCGTATAACAACAAAAGAAGAGTTGAAGGACCTATAGTTGTCATTATTATCTAAGTTCAGATCCTTGGATAGTCCATTGATGTTATCATCCAAGTTTGCTACAGCATCTGCCGAAAATGGTATTATCTAGACACCAACCACAATTTTAAGACAGTTCTGAGTTAACCAAAAGAAGTGATAAAACATACACATAATCTGTCTTGAAACGAACTCTCCAGTATTTCTTGTTTTATGTCACAATAATTTTTGTTTTACATCAGATATTGTTTTCTTATTCAGAGTGCATAACAAGACCTGTTGACACTTGGTTTTCATAATGGCGAAAAAAGTGAGTATACAAAATACGAAACCAATATTTTGATTTTGTTTTTTCTTTGTAAAAAAAAAATTAAGTGTGCAATCTGTAACTGAAAATAAAGTTAGCCAGTGTAAATGTACTACAACTAAAAGTGATAATAAAATAAAGAACCCTTGTTATGGCATATTGGGCATATTATGCTACACTCATATTTATATAGACCCGTCAGCAGATTGTAGGTGATATTAACATCACAGGCTGGCTGTGTTTACTTTTTACTTCCCAGGATATTGCCTTGTATCCATTTTAAGCTGGGTCGATCTGGAAGCCAAGGTCAGTTTTGAAGAAATCTGACTTGACGTGGATTTGAACCCAAGACCTTCTGGCTGGCTAAGAAATCTTTAGCGGCTACACTGTTCCTGATGATAAGATACAAAAACATAATTGTAACCGCAGAGAAAAAATGTTATGCTAGAATACTGAATGTGACAGCATCCTGTTGCTGTGATTTTCTCTGGTCTCTGCGTAGTAAGATCGGATGCCCATGTGTATTGTTGTGTACGTAAAAAAATCTCTTGGCAGTTGAAAATAGAAAAAGAGTAGCCTAACGGTGATGCCCGTGCAAAATTTAGAGTTGAAAATCTACCCAAAAGTATTTTAGGATCCTCGCCAGTGCTACAGTTTGTGCACTGGACTGAAATTCTTCGGACTCAGGCTTGAATCAGAAGTAGAACGGAGCATTTATGGGTTACTACCCTTGTGCCATGATGTTGATCCGTCACCTAAACCTGAACAGTAAATCTCTTCTTCTTTCTTCTTTGCGTTCGGTTTCGTATGATCAGATCAGACCATCAGGTGGGTTGCCTCTATGAACTCGCATGTCAGCTGCAGGTCCTGCATGGTTCATCATAGCTTGCTCTGCACACTTTACTCCTGAGGCCAGGTGTCTTTTGGAAGTTGCAGGTAGAGTGGGCAGGTCTGCAGAATGTGCTGAGGTGTTTGTGGTCCTGTTTGACAGGCACACTGTGGGGACTGTACTTTATTTTATGCATGTGGTAGTTGAGCCTGCAGTGTCCTGTTCGTAGAGAACAGTAAATGACCATGAGGCTAGTGATTCCTCATCGAGATTATGTTGCATGACAAGGTAATGACATGGGCAACCACGTGGCTGGAATTATATGATCATGAGAGCAAAGTCAGTAAGATAGGAAGGACATTAAGTAAGTTGCTTTCAGCAGCAATGGATAGGATGACTTGGCATGAGTTGGTTGTGGGACTGTTCTCTATAAAGGACAGAAGACGATTCCATTAGCATAAACCAGTGGGTCATGACAGGCTCAGTACCCAGGCAGTAGAGTGTGTCATTGCGGAGGTCCACCATTGGTTAAGTCATCTTCATCTTTTTTGGAAATAAAATAGCTGATAAATTGGCTGGCTCTGCCATTGTTGTAGATGACCAGCCTGTGGATCACACAGACATTATTAATGGCCATGGAGAGATGAGACCATTTGGAGACTTTAGAGCAGTGTATCCACATTGCTGTTTAGAATGAGAGATTTGGATGTAAAAAATTGGTACAGCCAGGAATGAGAGGCTCGCCATAAGTATGAAAAGTAGGGCTTTTGTTCCTCTCGGTATGGAATTATATACAACAGCGGCACCTTTTTTTTAAGGCAATTGTTATTTTCAGCGCTACAGTAATAAACACTTTGTGATGGCACAGGCATCTCTGTTTAGACACTCTAAGTAGAAAAAGTCATGATAAGTCTTTTTAACCAGCAATAGACCACCTGTTAAGCCATAGGGCACTAATGTTTATTTCTGAAGAAAAAATGGTGGAGGGATGGGTTCTGAGCATCTAAAGGATTACTATGTTGTGTTTAGGAAAGATTAAATAGTATAATGCTAATGTAATTTGGTGGCTGTGAGTAAGATAGAGACAAACGTACAGAGTAAAATCGGGGAGTTCCTGGAATAGTCCAAAGACGTCCTGTGACATATTGTGGTCAGGTTTTCTTCCCTCCAAAGTGTGCCCTGTCCAATGCCAGCATCTTTTCCTCATTTCTTGATTCACACAGATTTGTTTAATTCTCTCTCAAAGCTGTATATTAGTAATTCTATCCTACTATAATTTTGTCTATTCTGCACTGGCATCAGTATCCTGAACTAATGTTAGAATAAATAATATTAAGTGTATCATTTCTTTTCCTCAGTTGATACATTCATCTAAATTGATGTTGCACATGCCAACTCTTCGATTAATTGGGAGAGGGTGCAGAGCTTTCTCTTCAGCATCAGACATTCTGGACATGCAGATTCTAGACCCAGCTGATGAATCCTCAAGTAAGTGTGACATTGTCAGCCTTTCAACTTGAGATTCTGAAATTTCAGTTTGAACATCATTTCTGTCTACAGTATGAAGCTGCCATTGCATTCTGTGTTGGCTTCTGCACCTTAGACGTTGTGAACACGCTTCATAATTCCAAAATGCCCAGGGTTATTTCAGCTGCATGCGATATTGGAGCAAACCGCCTTGTATTGATATCAACAAAGGTATGGAATGCTGACTGTTCAGAGGGAAATGGCAAACTATTGATTGTAAAATTACCTAGTAAAATACAAAAAATTCAGAAAATGCTAGAGTCGGTTCTGCAATATCCTATAAAGGGTTCACACTAACTTTATTATTATTTATTGTAGGCTTTATTTTGTACTATTTAACAAGTTAGTTTCAAATACTTCATCCCTTACCCGCACAAGGCCGCTGGGAATGCCATTTGGTGTAGCTGTCACGGGTATATTTGAGAAAACCCGCCCTGAAATCACAAGCCTCAGACAACCTACAAATTCCAGCAAATAACAATTTATATAGATTAAGACTTGGATACTGAAAAGCCAGATTTACTGCACCTGTGTGCCTAAGTTGCTTTCAGGAAAACACAAAAGACCCTTTTCTGCTAACATGAACCCTGTATGAACGGGAAAGAAAGCCCTGGAAGACATAAAAAAAAAAAAAACTAAATAAGTTATGGACATAAAAAAAATGCTTATGTGGTGATAGTAATGAGAAAATTAAAGAAAAATAAACGAAATCATTTGCAGAACACACAAAAATATATAATTCTCCACAAATAAAGATATGATGATATGGTGAGGTGAGAAAAAGGAATTGATGAAGGTAAGAAATAAGAGAAAGAATTAAATTGTGTGAAACAACATAAACTGGCCAAGACTGCCTAACTATCCACTTAAAGTAGTGGATATTGAGAAAGTGTCACATATATAAACCAAAGATCCAAACTAGTTACAAGGGTACAAATAATATGAAATGGGTAACACTTTAGGGTGTATCATATACAACACTAGTAACCATTTAAGGCTGGGTCGACCTGGGAGCTTGGCAAAGCGAGAGAAACAAAATGTAATAAATTTGTTGCAGCATGTTTTCTAATCCTATAGTTAATGAGTTAATATTTTTCTTTCTTCTCTAGAAACTCAGACTGTATGGCCTGACCATCTGTTAGGCCCATTAGGCCCCCAAGATAAGAGATTTCCCATGCCAGGCAGAGTTGGGCCATGCATCAACACACAGAGGTTGAGCCAGATACTGAACGCACATGAAGAGACTCCTGTTATGTTCGACCCAGATAATGTGTTACCCCCACTTCCGTTTCAGCGACACACAGACATAGTCGAACAGTTTTTGACTTCAGTTGATGAGGTAAGTAGGCTGCTGGGATGAATACTTGGAATGAAAGCTGAATAGTGGCCTAACGTATTTAATCTTATGAAGTTGGTTGTTAGTTACTCTAATACTCTATTGCCTTCCTTCCTTCCTAGCGTTTACTGGCTGTAAACTCTGGTGGAAAGTTCTGGTTGTTTGTCCACATCAGAACTTTGGTCTTTTCCCAGCACTTGAGCTTTGCACGCACATTCGTTTTCAAGATCTGGCTACTTCTTCATTGTTTTATACCATTGCTGCTGCTGCTTCATCTACCATCTATCAAAATGCAGATAGCATTTTGTTTTGTGGATCACAGCTAGGCTATCGTACCTGGGCCTTTTGGCTCAACATATCCACTTTCACCAGATCTTAATTAGTTACTTTTAATAGCATGCATTGTTAAGAGAGACTGGGTCTGCTCTTTGGGGGGGGGGGGGGGGGGAGGGGGGGGGGAAAGGGGGGGAGGGGAAGGGTCTCAAAAATGGGGTCTCAGAACCCATATGGGAATTTTCACAAGAAAAATATGTCCTGCTTTATCTTACCAAGTTTCTTCCATATGTGAGCAAACAGAATTTGATTTTACACATTAATCTTAATTTATTAATTACTCTATGTGATACAGAAACTGATTAATCTGATTTCATTGTAATAAGATAGTTGCCCTGTATTTAGTGTAAGAAAGTAATTTGTGTATTTCTTTATCTTACCAAAGTTTGTTTACTTAATATGAAGCAGAAACTGACTTTGTCTATTTTCTGTCTGCCCAAATTAGTTACACTTTATGTGATACAGGAACTATTTGAGCATAACATAATTTCATCCTGCCACTTTAGTTATTATATATATGATGCAGAAAGTACTCTGTTTTCAACTCATTTTATCTTACAGAGCCAGTTACCCTTTACGTGACGCCGAAGTGGGTGATTTTTGTTTTCTTTCTGCAAAATTACTTTGTTATGTGAAAACGTGGGGGGAGGGGGGGGGGGGGGGGGGGGCTGATCTTGTTTTCACTTATTTCGTTCTGCCAGCTTAATTACTGTGTATGTTGATTACTTTATGTGTGGAGTAAAAAACAGATGCAAGTGTTCTTTTTAAAAGGCATGTA